ATATATATAATTTATATATATATAAAACAATATATATACATACATATATATGCGTGTGTATAAATATATACTTTAGCAATAAATAATGTATAAATATGTTTTAGAATATTATATGTATTGTTTTATATTTAATTTATATATTTTTATTTTTATTTATTAAATATTAAAAAATATAATTTGAGGCTAAAAATGTTTTTTTCCCCCGCAAAAATAGCGGGGTGGCACCTTGGGACACATAGTGATGCTACACAATCTGGGCACTTCTAGTTGGCTGTGACTTGGCTTCTAGCTCGGATGGGCGGCACCTGAGAGGAAGAAGAAGGTGAAGGATTCCCAGGGAGCTCTCCCGGTGCGAACGCTCCGATGGCTAAGTTAGAACTGGAGAAATCTCAAAGGAAGAACAAAGAGTAAGAGTGCTGAAAGTGCTTAAGCTTCAATACCTTTGCTTTGTGAGGGCCGGGGTTTTTTATGTCGGAGCTCGGTCACATCAGGCATAACCGTCACTGCCCTAGCCGTTACTGACTGGGCAGAGGTGGCAAGTGCAGGCTGCCGGCACAGGCTGCTACTGTAGGGCATGGACGTCAGGCGGGCCGTGCCTTTTAGAGACGACAAGCAAAACGCCGCCTGGCAAGGGATTCGAGCACTGCCACCGGATCTGGCAGGTACGGATGTCAGGCAGATATCTCTGCAGTTTGTCGAGCTACCGTGCACCGAACCACCTGGGGCAGGTTTACCTTGCACCGAGGTGCCGAGGTACACCGAGGTGCCCGTACTGGAGGCGAGCCTTAAGCAAGTACGAGCGGGAGTCTTGATGGTGTTGTCCCGAGGTGTTTCTCCCTCAGGACACTTAGCCAAAAGTTGGGGTGCTTCCTTCTTAGGAAGAGAGAGCTCGGAGTCCCTTAGGAGGAACTCGGGTCCCTTTGCACGGGGGAGCTCGGGGGCTCTATCCTCAAGTTCAAGCCGAGCGGGGCCCGGCTCCTCGACGAGCTGTCACACCCGACGATTTGTTTGACCGGGCCTCGGTGAGCTTGCTGCGCCGAGTAGTGGCCAGGCTATCACGCTGAGTTGTCACTTATGCCAGGTCATGTCCACGTGTCCCCATGCTACAAGGTCGGGCCAAATCACCCTACATCAATTGCCCCCCACTCCTCGTGCTAGGGGTGTTGACCTAGTGCAGGGAGTCTGCTGGGTGGATTTGGCTCGAGTCCAAACTTTCCTGTCTGCCAGCTCATAGGTTGCACTGGTCTTCCACTCGGTTCTGCCGGGCGCAGCTCGGGTCACGTACGATCTACGCGCGGATGTCATGCAACTTATAGGCTCCGCAGACGTAGAAAAATGCACTAAAAAGATTTCACCTTGAAGGTCGTGCAACTGGTTTTTATGGGAGCCGTCAGATTGCTTCGATCTCAACCGTTGATGCCCACGAATAGTGGCTATAAATAGTGGGGGTCCTAGTCATTTCCCTTCGCCAGAAACATTCATCTGTAGTCTTGAGCTTGCGTCCAAAGCCTTTTGCTCGGGTTAGTTCCTTTCCAGTCCGGTCTTATTTTTCTTTGGTGAGTCACCCTAGCTTCTTCCTTAGTTTCAATTATGTCTTCTTTTGATAGCCTTTTAGATGAGCCCGAGGTGCCCGAGGTGGGCACCTCGGCTCAGGGTAACCCTATCGAAGTCCAGTCTCTCGAGGCGCAGGAGGCCTCGGGTCACCAGGCATCCACCTCTCACCGAGTTCGGATGCCAGATAGGTTCGGGCCCTCCACCATGACCTTGGAGAGGCTCTGCCAACTCATTCGACAATATAACTTGCCAAGGGAGTATACCTATAGTTTACCTGCGGGGAACTTCCCGTGGGAGCACGACCCTGATAGGTCATGATCTTCCGAGAGCAGCTCATAGCCGGGCTGCGCCTTCCCTTCCACCCACTCTTAGTGGAGGTTCTGAAGCACTTCAACATTACGATAGACCAGCTTCACCCAAACTCGGTCCGTAACATGGTCGGGACCATCTCTCTTTGTTATGAGTATGTCATGCCCCTTAACCTGGACATACTCTGCTCCATCCTCACCATCGAGAAGAGCACTTCGTGTGTTCTCCCCGAGCACAGGAGGGCTTACTACTTGTCCCCCTGCTCGGGCTTTAAGCTAATGCACAAGCTTCTTAGTAAGGTCCCGGTCTGGAAGCAGGACTACTTCGTAGTTCGGGATCCTGCGGGGTGGCCCTTCCCTACTCATTGGAGGGCGGCTATCCAAGACCCTGGCGTCATACTCGACAGGAAGACCAGGGTGGCATTCCAGTCGTGGGTTGAGGTCGGCTGCGATTTAAAAGATTATATCAAAGAGGGTATGCTCTTCCAGGCTGGCTTGAGCCCGGGTAGGTAGTTAGTACCTTAGTTGTTTGGTCTGCTCTCCTTTTCCTTCTTTTACTCAAATACTAATGCCGAAATCTTTTGCAGGTCCTATGGAGGCAGACAAACTCAAGGGAGACCGGCTCTTTAAGCATATGAAGGGGAGGAAGAAGCGGGCTACCAAGAGAGCTCGTATCGAGTCATCGCCTGCCCCCACTCCCGAGCCCCAACTTCCACCGGCTCTAGTCTCTGAGCCCGAGCTCTCTGGGGCTTCTCCAATCATCGACTTGGAGGAGTCTCTACCGCCTAGGGAGCCTGAGGCCGTTGTGAGGTCGGCAACTGAGGTCGAGGTTGCCACCGGAGCTGCTAACGTTGCAGCTGGAGTATCCGACGAGCCCATTTGACGCAGCGTGGAAGCAATAAACCGGGCTGGCTATGCAAGCACCGGACGAACACAAGGCTTCGTCGTGAAGCCTGTGGTAACTAGGCGTATGCCTTGGAAGAGAGAGAAGTGAAAAAAGAAATTCTGTTTGTTGTCTATTAACTCAGAATAACAGTATTTATAATACATCTGGTAGACTTATAGAATAACTAGGAAAGTTAAAATTGTAAAACAACTAGGAACTGGACTTCTAGACATCTTCGAAATCTGCCTTTGATATCCACCGTCCGATAGCCACCATCTTCCGATGTTTATCAATGCATGGAGTTGTCACCATTATCCTATGGTTGTTGGATCACGTAAGGTCTCTAGACGTTAGAGACGTGAACTGTCGCCGGTTGGTGAGATGGTCCTCCATCATTCTTCCCCACTTGGAAAGAACTCGACCTCGAGTCATGATCGGGATATGCAAATAACGATGAACATCAACAACATTAAATGTTTTGGAAATACCTATGTGATCTGGCAAGTCCACTACGTAAGCATTGTCGTTGATCTTCTTGAGGATCTTGTGTGGGCCGTATTGCCGAGGCTGTAGCTGGTTATACTTCCCCACAGGTATGCGTTCCTTCCTTAAGAACACCATGACTTCATCACCTTTTGGGTTTGGGTGACCCCCCCTCAGCTGCAACTACCGCACCAGAATTTTGCGGGCTAACCTCTGCTTCTTTCTCGGTTGATTCTTCTTCACTCGAGGCCTGTGGGGCATTTAATTGCGGAATTGGTGGTGCCTTGCTTAACATACACTGGTGAATCTCGTCAATCAATTTCTGACGTTCTGGAGTTCCAAATCTGGGGGCTGCTTCACGAGATTTGATGGCTAATGCACGTCTTTCTTCCTTCTTGTAATCCAATGAGCCCAGTGCACCATCTGGGTTGGTGGGCATGAATGCAATCAATGCTACCAAAGCAGTTCTCACGCTCCAAGATGGCTGCCAAAGCTCCGGATGATGATTGGATATGCTTAGACAAATCTTCGTCTGTGTTTCAAAACGACCATTAGGAGTTAACAGCATAAATGTAGGAGGTTGGAATGGATATTCTGCTGGCAATTGGATCCGTCTGTGATAGATTCCTCCCTCGAACTCTGTGTCACGGGGACCTCTGATCGCGAATTGCCACTCAAATATGTTTTCCTCGAGAGGAAGGCTCATGAAATCATCGGAAGGGTTTGCTCGTATCTCCTTCACCTCCTGAAGGATCCTCTTCACCGTTGGGTTCTTCAGGTTGTACTTCTCTTTCTTCCACTGAATAACCCTTCGGAATGACCCTGCCAATATATTGACCCCTGGTGCTGCAATATCGGGTTTTGTTATGCTAGGTGCAAGTATGTTTGGGCCCTTTGAAGAAGACGGAGCCACCACTGGTGCAAGTCTTGTTTTCAGAACCGTTCTTGTTGGAGAGATTTTGGAAATTGGTTTCCTATCCGTAGGCAGATATGATTGAAGTACTTGTGATTGTTTAACACTAATTTGAATGCCTGGGATTTCAAACTGTCTGAGTCCTTCCTTGGGAAATGAATCGACGAGTATCATCCCGACACCACCGCCCCGTCGTATGGTTTTCCCTGATATATCTGTTCTTGTGCTATTACGCACGCACACCACTATCTTTTCCTTAATCAACGTGTGGTTAAGACTCTCCTCCTCACAGAAGATAGCATTGGTAGAAGGAACACGGGGAGCAGCTGCATCACTCGCGTTTATCACACCATAAAACCCATCCATCTTAAATGGGTTTAACGAGTAACTCTTGAAAATTTTTGAGTTACCAAGATGAACATCGGAGATGAATTCTCGATCCACAAAGCTCGCAGCGATAGTGAGAATCCAAGGCGCGGCATTTCCCACTATTCCAGGGAAGAAAAAAATTCCAGCTACGACTGAGACCAGAATTCCTTTCCTGAATGCATGTAAAGCTCCAATGGAGTTGGCATCACCAGAGTAGCTAACGAAAGGGATCCTGGCAAGTGAGATGGAGATTATATCGATGCCATCATTGATGGAATCATCAAAGGCTGAAAGGATGTCAGCTTCGGAACATAGCCTCAAGGTCCCCCAGCAAACTTTGTAGACGGCAAGCCTAGCGCTAGGCGCACCTCCCCTCGCAACACCTCTGGCAATTCCGTACAAATTGGCATTTCTCACCATGGATCTAGCCACTATGGATGCGGTGTGGGTGCCATGCCCATTCTCATCCCGAGCTGACCGGAAGAAAGTAGAATTTAAAGATTCAAGAGGCCCATATTCTGCCTCAAATCCTTTCCAATAATACCGAGCACCTACAACTTTACTGTTACAGTTTTCCAATGTAAAATGATCACCAGTGACACATTCTCCCATAAATCTCTTGGGCACAGGTCCTAAGCCTCTATCATTGAAGCTCTCTGATTCAGGCCAAATTCCACTGTCAATGACACCAATGATAATATCCGGCTTCACGTCAATGGGCAATTGGTTGTATTGGTGAATAGAATCGACTCCTAAGAATTCCCAAGGATGTGTGGTCTGAAGATTATATGTCCGACTCTCGAAGACGAAAACAACTGATTCAATCTCAGAAAGTTTCTTTAATTGTTCTGGAGTGAGCATGGCAGAGAAACCCCTGAAGCTCTTGGTATAATGGTGAATTACTACCTGTTGTGCTCCGTCAATACTGCCAATCACCGAAGGAAGAATCTCGTGGTTGGCTCTAATCACAGAATCAGAATCTGGGTACGAGTCTGAAGGCTCATGAACCTCGGATTTCTTGTCAACAACTTTGATGGATTGCTTCGTCTCTACCAAACTCATGATGCCAACGTCATGACTGGCGACAGATTTGGCGATTGGCCAGCCCAAAGTAGAATGCTCGTCAGAACAACTGTTGTCATCGGTGGGATCTGAGAAAGCTGAAGTTCCAGAATTCGTCATACAGTATCCAAATGGATCACCGCTCAAAGTAGAGTACCCGGTGGCTTTTGTGGTTGATGTATCTAACTGATTCCTCGAGGAAGGAGAGGGATGATGACGGACGTCAGCGATAAAGCCTGTAACACCACGGTATTGAGATGTTCGTTGTCCAAATGTATCAATTAAGTTACACGGCACTGGCTCTCGGTTGACAGCTTTCCCAACCTGCCGTTTTCGGTTGTCAGATCCCGGTGATGACGCAAGTCCAGGGATCCGGGGTATAGGATCGATGAGTGGTCTACCGTGATCGTCTCCTCCGGTTGGGTATGGATTTTCCCAGTTCCGTGGAACAACCTCCCGCAACAAGGTCCGCAGTTGTTCAGCCATCTCTGCCAACTGCTGCTCGATATTACGTGTGCTCTCCAAACAGCTTGTAACCTTTGATCTCCGTCACGGGGTGGGTTGCGATCGCTACCGTCTTGGTTGGCCATCTGACTGGGCGAATTCCCTGCTCTGATAGCACCTAACACAGCGTGGAAGCAATAAATCAGGCTGGCTATGCAAGCACTGGACGAACACAAGGCTTCGTCGTGAAGCTTGTGGTAACTAGGCGTATGCCTCGGAAGAGAGAGAAGTGAATAAAGAAATTCTGTGTGTTGTCTATTAACTCAGAATAACAGTATTTATAATACATCTGGTAGACTTATAGAATAACTAGGAAAGTTAAAATTGTAAAACATCTAAAACAACTAAAACAACTAGGAACTGGACTTCTAGACATCTTCGAAATCTGTCTTTGATATCCACCGTCCGATAGCCACCATCTTCCAATGTTTATCAATGCATGGAGCTGTTACCATTATCCTATGGTTGTTGGATCACGTAAGGTCTCTAGACGTGAGAGACGTGAGCTGTTGCCGGTTGGTGAGATGGTCCTCCATCACCATTCATACAGCCGAGACGGCTGTCTCTAGTTCGGGGAGCCCGGATGGGGGCCGAAGCATCCTGCTCCCCCAATGCGATCTTCGAAAGAGCACAGGGGCCACTTACTCCGAGGAGATTTCGGTTTGGGCTGATATGCTCAACCCTGCTCAGCTTGGAGCCCAGGCTGCCACCCACACTATGGTGGTAAGTTTCCTTCTCTTTTCTTTTCCTTTTGTATTTGTGCTTCTTCGGTACTAACTATCTTTTTTGTCAGGCGAACTCTGCCGTGCACACCCTTACCCTTCAGTCCGAGAGGAACCTGAAGTGGGCTTTGACTGTCGAGGAGTCTTCCCGCTCTGCCCATACCGAACTGAGGATAGCTCGTGAGCAGATCCATCGGTTGGAGAGCGGTGCCATGGCCCAGAGGGGCGTCATCACAGCGCTTACGTCGGAGAAGGACGAGTTGGCCCGTGAGAATAACGAGTTGAAGGGCGAGATGGAGGCCCTTAAAGCGGAGTTGACACGCGAGAAGACCGTGCTGAAAGGCGAGTTGGATGCCCTTAGAGCAGAGGTGGAAGGGCTTAAGGAAAATAGGAAGGTTCTTCTGCACGAGGTGGAGTACCTCAAGGCGGATATCGCAGAGAAGACTGAGATCTTCACTCAGGCGACAAAGGAGACGAAAGCAAAGCCGTCGCTGACTACATCTAGTCTGATAAGTTTAATGCCGTTCTGGGGGAGGCCTACCGCAAGGGGTTCAAGCTCAGCAGGTGGTTGATAAGGCATTCGTACCCCGAGCTCGACACAAGCGCCATCACCACCTCGCGAATCACGGATGAGATAGCTCACCAAGCCGTGAAGGACCCGGACTCAAAGGAAGAGGGTGGTGATGAAGAAGATACCCCTGACCAGCCTGAAGCTCCTGAGGAGGTCTCACGCGGAGGTGGAGAGCCCCCGAAGTAATTACCTTTGTACTCTGAGCTAGTGAGCTCAGTCCTTGTACTTGGTTTTTCTTTTCTGTTGAACTCGTTGTACAAACTTTATCTATTAATGAAATTGACCCTTTTCCAAGTGATCTTTCCAAGTACTGCTTTATCCGAGCTTATCATGGTTGTGTGCGGAGCGGTTTAACGTAGCAGGGCATAGTATGGCGCATGCCCGAATTGCCTTATGGCGTATACTGAGGCGATTAACAGAGTAAGAAATAGTAAGGCATATGCCCGAACTGCCTTGTGACGTACACAGGTGATTAACATAGTAAGGCATATGCCCGAACTGCCTTGTGACATACACAGGTGATTAACATAGTAAGGCATAGTAAGGCGTATGCCCAAACTGCCTTGTGATGTACACCGAGGTGGGCTTAGCGCCTTAGGGTCTACTGGTTGCCCTCGCCCTTGGTGCAGTGCGCTATGGTGTTGAGCTCCTTGGTCAACTTGGCGTTTCAACCCTTTAAGTTCATTCGCATCATAGTGGCTACTTGAGCCCAAACTGCCTTTTGGCCCTTGAGCCCGGAGAGTGACCGGCGGTTTACTCCGTTACTCATAGGTAATACTGTCTTAGGTTGACGATATTCCACGCCCGAGGTACTTGTTTCCCTTCTAGGGTTTTGAGCTCATATGTTCCTTCCATGAGTACTCGCTTTACTCGGTAGGGTCCTTCCCAGTTTGGAAGAGCTTGCCAACGCCGGGCTCAGGCACCATAACCTTACGGAGAACCAGGTCGCCAACGCGGAGAGTCCGCTTTTTGACCCTGGCGTTGTAATATCGAGCTACCCTTTGATGGTAGGCCGCGGTCCTGATGTATGCGAGGTCCCGTACTTCATCAAGCAGGTCGAGGTTGGTACGTAGCTCGTCTTCATTTGCTCTGTCCTCGTAAGCTTTTAATTGCAACGAAGGGACTTCAATCACGGCTAGAATGACTGCTTCGGTGCCGTATGTAAGGCTAAAGGGGGTTTCTCCTATGGCGGTCTTTTCCGTGGTACGGTAGGCCCATAGTACACTGGGCAGCTCGTTCGTCCACAATCCCTTAGCTCGGTCCAGGCGCGCTTTTAGTCCTCGAAGGATAGCCCTGTTTGTAACTTCCGTTTGGCCATTTTCCTGAGGGTGCGCCACCGAGGTGAAGTTCTGTTGAATTCCCATGTCTCGGCACCAGTTTTGGAACTTGATGTCTTCGAACTGTTTACCATTGTTGGAGATTAATACCCGGGGTAATCCAAAGCGACACACTATGTTCTTCCAAAAGAAGTTCTGCACGTTTCGAGCCGAAATTGTTGTGAGAGGTTCAGTTTCGACCCACTTTGTGAAATAGTCCACTGCCACTAGTAGGAACCTCCTCTATCCTGTTGCTGTTGGGAATGGCCCGAGTAGGTCAATCCCCCATTGTGCAAATGGCCATGGGCTAGTGAGGTATTTTAGGTCGGCAGCAGGCTGGTGGTGGATGTTGGAATGCTTCTGACACTTGTCGCAGTTTTTGACAAGCTCGGTTGCATCTGCTTTCGTGGTTGGCCAGTAGTACTCCTGTCGTAGTGCTTTCTGAGTGAGGGCCCTACCCCCCAAGTGACCGCCACACAGGCCTTCATGAGTATCACGGAGGACGAGCTCGGTTTTCGAGGGTTGCAGGCAGAGCGGGTAGGGGAGTGTGTAGGATCTTCGGTACAGCTRTCCGTCTATCATGACATATTTGGTTGTCTGGCGCTCTACCCTCCTGGTGGCGTTATGATCTACAGGGAGGGTCCCGTGTAGGAGGAAGCTTGTGAGCGGATCAATCCAGCTCGACTCTGTTTGAATGACGGGAGCTACCTCCTCTACCCCCCTGAGAATGCTAGGCCGAGGCAAGTCCTCTATATACACGGTCCTCATGGTGTTATCGCCAGTGCTGGCTAAACGGGATAGGGCGTTGGCCTTAGCATTCTTTGATCTTGGGATTTGCTGGATGAAGTATGACCGGAAGTTGAGCAGAGCCCCTCTTACTTTGGCTAAGTTTGCTACCATAGTTGGCTCGTGGGCTTCGTACTAACCCATAACCTGATTTACCATGAGCTAGGAGTCACTGTAGACGACAACAAGCTTGGCTTTCACATCCCTTCCCAGGTCCAGCCCGACTATCAGTGCCTCGTACTCTGCTTCGTTGTTTGATGTCACGAACTCAAAGCGTAGCGCGTACTCCAGTTTCACACTGTTTGGTCCGCACAGAACGAACGATCTCAGCTCCGCTGCCTTTCCGGTTTGACGAGCCATCTACGTGAAGGATCTGGGGTTCTTCATCCCAGTTCGGGCTTGGCCTAACTAGGAGAGATACCGCGTTGGTTGCTACTTCACGGGGATCAAGTTCAACCGACCCGGGAACCCCAGGCTCGCCCGCACTGGGGGCCTCATGTTCCACCGGCCTAGGGACCTCAGAACTGAAGGTACAATCCGTGACGAAATCTGTTAAGGCTTGGGCCTTGATAGCAATTCACGGTTTATACTGGAGTCCGTACTCACTGAGCTCGATGGTCTACCTCGTTAACCTTCCTGAGACCTCGGGCTTAAGTAAGACTTGCCTCAGAGGCTTGTTGGTAAGGACAACGATGGTGTGAGCTTGGAATTACGGGCGGAGCTTTCGGGCTGCTATCACCAGTGCATAAGCTAACTTCTCTATCTCGCGATACCTCGTTTCTACTCCCTACAACAATTTACTAACATAATAGATGGGCCGTTGGACCCGACCTACTTCTCTTATTAGTACCAAGCTGACTACCTCGTCACTCGTCGAGAGGTACAACTCTAAAACATCACCCTCTTCGGGTCGGGTTAAGACTGGGATGCTGGCCAGGTGCCTTTTGAGCTCGTCAAACGCGTATTGGCATTCTTCAGTCCATTCAAAACCTTTTATGGCCTTAAAGAAGGGCAGGCAGCAGTCTACTGACTTGGACACGAAGCGGCTCAGGGCGGCTAGCCGGCCGTTCAACTTCTAAACCTCCTTTAACTTTCAGGGTGGTCTCATTTCTAGGATGGCTTTGATTTTGTCCGAGTTGGCCTCAATGCCTTGTCGGTACACAATGTACCCTAGGAATTTACCCGAGGTGATTCCTGTATTAATTCATGTGAAAATCGGGTTTTCACGACCATGTCGTCTACATAACACTACTGTTTTGCCAACAAGTGGCTTAAACAGCTTATTTACAAGTCTTTGGAAAGTAGCCCCAGCGTTCTTCAGCCTGAAGGGCATGACCTTGTAGCAGTATAGGCCGAACTCGGTTATGAAGGCAGTTTTCTCCTCATCAGATGGGTCCATTTTGATTTGGTTATAGTCCGAGTAGGCGTCCAAGAAACTCAGCAACTCGTGCCTCGAGCTCGCGTCCATTAGACGGTCGATCCTGGGAAGGGGGAAGCAATCCTTTGGTTAAGCTCGATTCAGGTCGGTGTAGTCGATGCACATGCGCCACTTACCGTTAGCCTGTTTCACCAGAACGGGGTTGGCCA